GACTGTAACTTCGTGACTGTAACTTCGTGACTGTAACTTCGTGACTGTAACTTCGTAACTGTAACTTCGTTAATGTAACTTCGTGACTGCAACTTCGTGACTGTAACTTTGTGACTGTAACTTCGTTAATGTAACTTCGTGACTGCAATTTCGTAACTGTAATTTCGTGACTGTAACTTCGTGACTGCAACTTCGTGACTGTAACTTTGTGACTGTAACTTCGTGACTGTAACTTCGTGACTGTAACTTCGTGACTGTAACTTCGTGACTGTAACTTCGTGACTGTAACTTCGTGACTGTAACTTCGCGACTGTAACTTCGTGACTGTAACTTCGGGACTGTAACTTTGTGACCGTAACTTCGTTAATGTAACTCCGGGACTGTAACTTCGTGACTGTAACTTCGTAACTGTAACTTCGTGACTGTAACTTCGTGACTGTAACTTCGTGACTGTAACTTCGTNTGTGGCAGTAGGTGTGATGGATGGCATGTGTAGTGGCATGTGGCAGTAGGTGTGATGGATGGCATGTGTAGTGGCATGTGGCAGTAGGTGTGATGGATGGCATGTGTAGTGGCATGTGGCAGTAGGTGTGATGGATGGCATGTGTAGTGGCATGTGGCAGTAGGTGTGATGGATGGCATGTGTAGTGGCATGTGGCAGTAGGTGTGATGGATGGCATGTGTAGTGGCATGTGGCAGTAGGTGTGATGGATGGCATGTGTAGTGGCATGTGGCAGTAGGTGTGATGGATGGCATGTGTAGTGGCATGTGGCAGTAGGTGTGATGGATGGCATGTGTAGTGGCATGTGGCAGTAGGTGTGATGGATGGCATGTGTAGTGGCATGTGGCAGTAGGTGTGATGGATGGCATGTGTAGTGGCATGTGGCAGTAGGTGTGATGGATGGCATGTGTAGTGGCATGTGGCAGTAGGTGTGATGGATGGCATGTGTAGTGACATGTGGCAGTAGGTGTGATGGATGGCATGTGTAGTGGCATGTGGCAGTAGGTGTGATGGATGGCAACTGTAGTGGCATGTGGCAGAAAGTTTAATCACATTTGTGCAATGAAAAGTTCTAGAATGAGATAATATTTTCTTGTCACACCAAGTTAGTGAAGTAACGCACTATATATACTCTGTTCTGACAACAATAACAACTATTCTCAGTCTATCTATATACATTTATCTCCGTAAACATTTATGCACTCTAAACGTAACCATGAACACGCACATAACATGACAAATAATCTTGCTTCTATCAAACTCAAAATGAGATCACTTTTTTGTGTTTACAAAATTTCCGAACGTCCATTTAAATATAATTTTAAATTTAATTTAATTATATTTAAATATAATTTAAATATAATTTTAAATGGGCACAACAAAGTGTTTGTAAAGGAACGCACTCCATAATTTCAATTTCAGCCTGCGATTAAAAAATCACTGATCATTTTACTTATGTTTTTCAAGTCTTTTCTTTATCTGACGCCCGAAAAGTTGAACAGTGTTCATAAAGTCAACGGTAGCAAGATAACAACGGAGTCTGGTCAACAGATTCAAAGTTATATTCAACAAATCTCCACATTATGATGAAGTGTTGATGTTAATGCCTTACACATGCAATACAATGAGGAAAATGAACATACACGATGTGGTACCGGAAATACACTTTGCGAAAGACACGCGGTACCGAAGATACATGTTGTAGATGATACGTGATTCTAAAGATAAATTGCAGAGAAGATACACTGCACCGAAGATACACTGCACCGAAGATACACTGCACCGAAGATACATCGCACCGAAGATACACTGCACCGAAGATACACTGCACCGAAGATACACTGCACCGAAGATACACTGCACCGAAGATACACTGCACCGAAGATACACTGCACCGAAGATACACTGCACCGAAGATACACTGCACCGAAGATACACTGCACCGAAGATACACTGCACCGAAGATACACTGCACCGAAGATACACTGCACCGAAGATACACTGCACCGAAGATACACTGCACCGAAGATACACTGCACCGAAGATACACTGCACCGAAGATACACTGCACCGAAGATACACTGCACCGAAGATACACTGCACCGAAGATACACTGCACCGAAGATACACTGCACCGAAGATACACTGCACCGGAGATAAACTGCACCGAAGATGCACTGCACCAAAGATGCAGTCTCAAATGAAGTTCATAAGACAGCGGCATCATCCTGTTGACAACTCGACTGCGTCAGTTGTGATTGATTTCAGTGAGTCAGGAATATTATTAAGGTTATCACCGTTAACTTCTCTTGTATCATTCTAGGCGGCACAAGCCTGTAAACATTGATAAACCTTCGCACTAGTAACACAAATGAATATTTTGCGCTCAGACCCAGGCCCTCATCACTAGGCCAGCGGCCCTCTGTTGGCCTCAATGCTGCAGGTGTCGAGAGAGGACCTCATGTATTCAACACTATGTCCTCAGAAGCCCAATTCATGAGACCAGCTGCCCTCTGTTGTCGTCACAGCTGCTGAAGTTGAGAGAGGACCGGATGCCCTCAACATTATGTCATCAGGACGCCCACTTCACGAGGCCAGCTGCCCTCTGTTGTCCTCACTGCTGCCGGTGTCAAGAGAGGACCGGATGCCCTCAACATTATGTCCTCAGGACGCCCAATTCATGAGACCAGCTGCCGTCTGTTGTCCTCACAGCTGCCAAAGTTGAAAGAGGACCGCATGTCCTTAACACTAAATCCTCAGGACGCCCACTTCATAAGGCCTGTTGCCCTCTGTTGTCCTCACTGCTGCCGGAGTCGAGTGAGGACCTCTCCTGCACGGGCGTGAGGCTAGAAAGCCTCCTCGTGTCGGGGACGAACATTTTGTCCTCCGGGGACGACGATGGGGAGATCGTATGGGACACGGAGGTCCGTATGACGGATGCACCCGCGGCCGTGGCCACCACGATCTCCTCACACTCATCGAAGGACTCATCGGAAATACGGACACTTTTCTTCCTGGATCTTTGGCCATCAGAAGCCCTTCGTGCCTCTGTGGGTCTCGAGGGCTGGGGAGGCGACAGCGGGGACGGGTTGAAGGGCTGCTTCGTGAGTGCTGCGCCATTCCCCAAAGAGCTTTGACGAAGGGACGACAACCTCCTCCTCGTAGCAGGAGGAGGATCCCGTTGCAGGTAGGACACGGTAGAGTGGGACCTCTGGGACCGGTACTTGTTCACCTCCTCAGAGTCCTCACTTGTGAACAAGTGAGTACTTTTCTGGGGGAAGTCGACAGACCTGCGGGGGAAGGAGGGGGCGGTTTCCTTAGGGAAGCAGGCACTCAGGGCCTGCAGGGGCTTCTTACCCTGACGTACGAAGACCTGGTTAACGTCCAGCAAGATGTCGCAACCCTCCACGATCATGCGCTCGATCGCCAGGTTCTTCCTGATGTTCTCGGTCTCGCTAACCTGCAGCAGAAGGTTCAGACATCAGCATGTGGTGACATCAGTATATGGTGACATCGGCATGTAGTGACGTCAGCATGCTGTGACATCAGCATGTGGTGACGTCGGCATGTTATGTGGTGATATCAGCATGTGTTGACATCAGCATGAGGTGTCATCAGCACGTGGTGACGTCGGCATGTCATGGAAGCGTCGACGTGTGGCAATAATATTCATGTGAATAATTCATTGTATGGCAACAATCGTGTGTCAACACTGCAGTTGTCAACAAAAAGCATGTAAATAACTTCTGTTTATAAATTCGAAAAAAATGTTTAGAAATTTGATAAAAATTTTGAACAGAAATTTCGAAATAAAGTTTTTTTTAATCAAGCAATCCATCAACCACGAGACCAAGTTGAGCATTTGGCAGCGCAAGTCACCTCGTCGTAAATCTGGCAGCAAACGTCACCTCGTAAATCTGGCAGCACACATCACCTCGTCGTTTATCTGGCAGCACACATCACCTCGTCGTTCATCTAGCAACACACATCACCTCGTCGTGCATCTGGCGGCACACAACACCTCGACGTACACCTGGCAGCACACATAACCTCGTCGCACGCCTGGCAGCATACATAACCTCGTCGTGCATCTGGCAGCACACATCACCTCGTCGTGCATCTGGCAGCACACATCACCTCGTCGTGCATCTGGCAGCACACATCACCTCGTCGTGCATCTGGCAGCACACATCACCTCGTCGTGCATCTGGCAGCACACATCACCTCGTCGTGCATCTGGCAGCACACATCACCTCGTCGTGCATCTGGCAGCACACATCACCTCGTCGTGCATCTGGCAGCACACATCACCTCGTCGTGCATCTGGCAGCACACATCACCTCGTCGTGCATCTGGCAGCACACATCACCTCGTCGTGCATCTGGCAGCACACATCACCTCGTCGTGCATCTGGCAGCACACATCACCTCGTCGTGCATCTGGCAGCACACATCACCTCGTCGTGCATCTGGCAGCACACATCACCTCGTCGTGCATCTGGCAGCACACATCACCTCGTCGTGCATCTGGCAGCACACATCACCTCGTCGTGCATCTGGCAGCACACATCACCTCGTCGTGCATCTGGCAGCACACATCACCTCGTCGTGCATCTGGCAGCACACATCACCTCGTCGTGCNGACCCACCTGGTGCATGGGGTAGGTCAGGAAGGTCTCCAAGGTGCGGTTCTGGAGCGCAGGCCGCGCCTCCAGCCTGTTGAGGAACGACGCGAAGTGCGAGTTTTGCTTGCACTCCGCCAGCACCTGAACAATGGTAATGGTAAGGGTAATGGTAATGGTAATAGTTATACTAATACTAATAGTAGTAGTAATTGTAATAGTAATACGAATACTAATATTAATAGTAATGATAATAGTTATACTAATAGTAATAGTAATGGTAATAGCTAACGAATAGTAATAGTAATGGTAATGGTAATAGTAATACTAATAGTAATACTAATAGCGATAATGGTAATAATAATGGAACGTGATGGAAGCCATTTAAGTGTGCTACTCGGGGCCGCTTGGACCACAATAATACCTACGAGGGTTATTAGGACCACATAAAAATACACACAATTAGACTCATTATCACCGCATGAGTCCCGCACCACCTCTGAGATATTCCCTTAACAAAAAACCTTCCATGTACATCATTAATCATTTATCCTCATAATTAACTGAGAGAAAAACTGTCATAAGATATCAGAAACTAAAATTTAATTTATTCAAATATGGTTATTTATTTTGATCAATCGGGACTTATTTATTGATGTTTCAGCGCCTGTAGCAGGGAAAAACATACACTTAGAAAAAATATAACTCAGTACTCACTGCCGTGAGTAACAGAGAGCGCATTTTCTCGTCGACGAAAACGTGAAGTCACGGACGGATGGACGGAGGGACGGACGGACGGACAGACGGACATGGCGAGCACAATAGTGCATTTTTTCCATGAATGAGAAAATGCGCCAAAAATATAGGATCAAATTGTCCTAATAGTGAAACACTTTTTGCGCGTAGCACTGATACTCCCTTTTTTACTGGGTGCAATTGGGTCAAGAAGAAGCGTACACAGTACATCGCTATTTGGACAAATACTGACTTGTTTCTCTGAGTGTTATATCCCAGTGAAAATTTACAGACGCGTCAGCTTCTGATTTGGAGTACCAGAAGCTGGGGCTACTCTAAATCTGTCTCTTATACACATCTAGATGTGTATAAGAGACAGGGTTATGATTGGGTCACAATGGGTGGGTTATGATTGGGTCACAATGGGTGGGTTATGATTGGGTCACAATGGGTGGGTTATGATTGGGTCACAATGGGTGGGTTATGATTGGGTCACAATGGGTGGGTTATGATTGGGTCACAATGGGTGGGTTATGAT